ATCACTGAATGAAAATTATGCAAGAATTACTGTGCTATTCTTGCAAATTTCCAGCAAGTTTGAAATTTTTTCAAAATAAAAAGTTAAAAGTTGCGTCTACTATCATATACTGGGACATGTTTCATGAAAGTGATAATCAGATTACCTGTTGCCCCAGTAAATGTTCTCAGAACCCTCTGAAGGGTCTCCCTGGTGGCTCAACGGGTTAAATCTCGGCACTAGGAAGCTGTCCTCAGTCTCTGCAGCACAAGTTCCATCCCCAGGCCAGGAAGCTCCCCCCAAGGTACAGCAGACCCCCTCCAGCCTCTCCTACTGCCCCCCATCAACAGTGTATTTTAGTAGACCTGCCTATTCTGCTCCCTGTCTCTGGTGACTCCGCTACACCCGCCCTCCCCCAACCTCTGGCCTACACCCCAGCTCTTGTATGCATAAATAAATAAATCTTAAAAAAAAATAACACTCTGGATCTTTATAATGCCCCCATTCTATGCCTGATCTAAACTGACTTCACCTCTCCATTCAGACTGAAGGACTCATAGAAGAAGTGACATAAAAATGAGGAACAGGGCCCTCCCTGGTGGTGCAACAGGCTAAAGCACAGCACTATGAAGCTACCACAGCACAAGTTCAATCCCCTGCCAGGAAGCTGACCCACATGGCCCGATAGACCTCTCCTGACCCACCCACTGCTCCCCTCAGTAGTATATTTCAGTCCATCTGCCTGTTCTGCTCCCCATTTTGTCTCCGATGAATCCTCTCCCTCCCTACACACACTTCTGGACCCAGTTCTGTATGCATAAGTAAATCTAAAAAAAAAAAGTGGGGAACACTGTCCTGAAACCGAAATAGCCAATGTGGGCCCCGTTCACAATGTTTGCTATTCATCAAGGACATGTAATTTCAAGTAGAATTAGGGGGGAAATTTCTTCCCAAAATATACTATACAACCACACAAATCAAATCAATCTGTGTTATTTCCCTTTGTCAGTTCTAACCAGCTCTTCCCGCATCATAATCTGTCCAGTAGTTGCCCAGCTAGTTCCCACAAATATTCAACCAGAAGCTTGGAGGCAGCAGCCTTTATTTAGGCAGAGCAATCCCTACTTTAGCTTCTCATGGTTTTTAACCCATTTGCAAGGGAAGAGAACATGAAAAGAATGTGTATCGTTATTCACACACTGATTACATACGGTGCATTCCTGTAGGCAAGCTTTTTGTTGCTATTATTCATGAAAATCAATTTAGATTTCTAAACTCATAAACTTCCCAATATATTTTGCAAACAAAATCTGAAGTTTCATGGAGAAGCTATGATATCCAGACATAACTTTCTTTGAACTACCGACTTGAAAATTATCATTTAACCAGTATGAAGACCACTGACTTCCAAGATGGCTAAAAGCAGTCTATCTCTGCTACCCCCAGTATGGGCAGGCAGGTAACTAGTTCCTTTCTCTAGACTGGCCACATTCAAAATTTCAGTAGTTGACGTTATCAGCTGTCTGTATTATGAAATGAACTGACTGGGATCCTTACTTTTTTACCCTATTCTTTGAACTGCTTGCCCAGAAAGGAAACAGATGAAAGAAAAATTTAAATCTTAAATTATTTCCAGAAACTTTACTTAAGAATGGGAAGGAGGGGGCTCTCCCTGGTGGCGCAACAGGTTAAAAGTACAGCACTATGAAGCTCTCCGAAGTCACTGCAGCAAGAGTTCAATACCCGGCCAGGAAGCTGACCCACATAGCACCATAGACCTCTCCTGACCAGCCCGCTGCTCCCCTCAGCAGTATATTTCAGTAGATCTGCCTGTTCTGCTCCCTACTCTGGCTCTGGTGAATCCTCTCACCCCCACCCCCATATCTCTGGCCTGTACCCCAGTTCTGTAAGCATAAATAATCTTTTTTTTTAAAGATTTATACAGTACTGGGGTACAGGCCAGAGATGCAGAGGGTGAGAGGACTCACCAGGAACAGAGTGGGGAGCAGAACAGGCAGATCGATGAAGTACACTGCTGAGGGGAGCAGCGGGAGGTCAGGAGAGGTCTGCGCGCCATGTGGTCACCTCCGCGGCAGGCAGGGATTGAACTCATGCAGAAGTGGCTTTAGCTTCTCAGTGCTGTGCTTTAACCCGCTGTGCAACCAGGGAGGGCCAATAAATAAATCTTTTAAAAAGTGGGAGGAGATGCATAAAAGGTTGAAACGACAGGCTTTAGTTAAGTTTCAAATTTTCTTTGCAACTTTATTTATCTATGATGTACTGCTTCCCATCTTAACTTCCTTTAGTTTTCCCCACAATAGCCCTTCACTGATTCCTATCAAGTGTCCTGTTTAACGAGGGCTTACTGAGCATCTCAGTGTATACCAGACACGAAGACAGATTCTAAGAGGGTACAGAGATAAGAACACCTACACTCAAGCAGTTCAGTCTAGAGGGGAAATCAAAAATAGACAATTTTAATAGCGATAAAACACTTGAACTGGCGCGGCAGATCTCAGTTTTGCCTGCTGCTTCTCCTGGCATATCTCGATAAATCCGCTACAAGCCTCTCACTGCAAGTTGGCAATATCATTCCAAACATACATCTGAAAATTCTCTGTAAGAAATTTCACTAATAATCAAGTGAAGTTGAAGGCCTTCCGATGGCAAGTTTAAGAAATCAGGAGGGCAAAGATGTGCATTTGAAAAGATCTTCATTTTCAAGACTGAGATAAAATCCATTATAGCACATCCAGCTCCCCAAAGACTTAATGGAAAATAGGCTTTTGCATACATTATCCCAACAAGGAAGCGCTGTAAATCTGCAGCCCTCCACAAGATGAAACAATCCTGCTCTAGGAAGAGCTGGGTGTAGTTCTGGCTCTTGTTTCTGTTCTCTCTGGAGAATGGCAGTGTATTAGTGGTTAAGTCCATGGACTTTGTAGTTAGTCAGACCAGGGTTTAATACTGGCCTTGGCCACTTACAGGCAGTGAGATTTTTAGCAAACCTCAGCTTCTCTGAGGCTCAAATTCCTTTAAAAAAAAAAAAAGTTGCTGTGGAAAATTAAGTAAATAGTGTATGCAAAATGATTGGCACACGCCAAAACACACACACACACAAAGGGAGGGGCTGGCAGTCAGTAACAGGGGACAATCAGGTATCAAAATAGAGAGCAATAAATTACAAACCTAATCATTTTGTTATTCCAACTGATCGGTGACCTATGCTTAATTTATCTGCAACCACCCTACCTCACCCATCCCTAGAGAGCAGCCACCTCAGAAACCTACGCTGAGCAATTTCTCTTCTCGGAGCATTTTTTGTTTTTAAGCTTTCCAACAGCCTCAGTCTTCACACCAGCCAAGAGAACATGTTCTAGCCCCTCTGACTCTCCATCACCAGGCCCCCAGGAAAGGTGCTAGAGCTCTAACCACGGAAGGAAATCCCCCACCTTGAACACAAGACAGCTACCTTAGTCACATAACAAAGAAACCAAGAGTCTGTAGGAGTCAAACAAGAAGAGAATAATCTGTTCAACTCATACTTACTTGCTATCATTTTTCTACTTCAATACGGAAATGAGGTGAAACAAAAGATAAAAAATTACTTATTCGCACTCCTGGTTATATCTCTTGAAAGAATTATCAGGGGTGAGGTAGGGAGAAGACAAATCTTCCATTTTATCCAAAAGGCGCTATAATACACACAGTCCAAACAATGCCTCAGTTCGTGGAAACAGTCCTGGACGCCGTCAGGGGGATGCTCGCTGCAGCTTCACGAAGCCCCACGTTTAACACTGGACACAAACACCACCACTCAGTCATCCAGAACCTGTATTCAAACTGCCTTTGTACTGCTTCTTCAGATTCCCTCATCCCTCCCCCTAAAGGTTGAGTGGGAAACAGACACTCTGGCAGTAGCATGACCAGCCCTCCAGACATTCACCGGGAAACCTCCCCTAGGCTGGAGTCAAGGCAGAGAACATCTGAACGAAAATTTGGAAAATATTAAGCAAAAACTACAGCCCAACAAACTGTACACATTGTCTTCCTTTTTAACTGCGCTTGTGCTAATTATGAGATCCAGACATTTAAAAATGTACTGTAGTCCTCACACAGATCACATTAAAAGGACTGGCCAAAGTTCTATTTCTTCTGAAGCCACAAGCTTACAAGGATGAAATCGCCTTTCAAGAAACACACTCAAAAATTCAAGGAAGCGTTCACTGGTCTGAAAAGAATGGGGATGGAGAGCAGGGCTGGGGGGAGACGGACATCAGAGGATTATTAAGATAACACCAGTTTAAAGTTGATGAGCAGCTCACATATTGAGGTCCATCTTGTGGCAATTAGGGCAGTATCTCTTCCAGCACTAAATTTCAAACTGATTCGGTTTTTTTCACAAGGAAAAGGAAGAGAACACCCAGTTTTCATGGATGAGTTGGCTATGTAATTATCCAGAATCAGTATTTCTGCAACAATGTGTATTTGCAAAAACAAAAATAAAACAAATCTTAAGATTAAATACATGATATGAAAGCACAGCCATGGGTCTCTGGCATCTACAGATTTCTGATTTCACGGCAAATTGACTAAACAAAAAGCTCACTCCAAAAAAACAACTTTTGGGTTGATTTAAAAGCAAAAATTCCCCTTTGCTTTCGAATATGCGATCTCAAACACTGGAGTTTGTATCAGTGTTCTGTTAGCCTAACCTCACTTACCCGTGGCCCTTTCTGAGAACACAAAGCTTGAAAACACTTCCAGGTGTGTTTCCACTTTAGTGTTTCCACTTTACTCAGGTGAACTAAAGAGCCTGATTAGAATTTCCTTATCCCAGTAAGCACTTAAACCAAATTTTATCGTATTTGCCGCCTGAACACAGAACTCCGCAAATCTCTGCCGTCTGAGCCAGTTTTAGGAGGAAGGGGATGGCCATTCGGTTAACACGGATCCCTTCGCTTTCTTTTAGAAGGCAGAGCCGCGAGGCAGCGGCTACCAGAAGCTCCCACCCACCGCACCTGGAAAAGTAAGAGGGATCCACCCAAGAACAGCAGGGCTGAAACCGATCTGGGCAGTTCAAACTCTGGGAGGAAAAGCCACCACCATTGAAGCTGCAAAGCTTCCTGCACGGTTCCACTTCCACAAATCTAATGATAAAAGTGGAAAAAAGAAAAAAGTTTTCAAACATATGAAGAACCAACCATCTGTATAACTAGCTTCCGACCTGAACAAATTCCTTTCCCAGCCCACACGCAACATGCCAAGAAAAACCCCCAACTTTTAGTTAGGGCTCTGAAAATAGAAATTTGTTAGCTTAGCAGGAAAATACACAAAATCCAAGAATACACCAAAATGTAAATTCACAAAATTGCTCTCAGCCCCCTGAATCTATCGTCTTCCTCTACTAGAAAGAACTAGAAGTTTGTTTCTGGATCTGTGATATTTTACCTTTTTGTAATGACAAAATACCAAAATTCCCCAAAGTAAGTAGAAAGAAATTAGTAATTCCTTAAAAGTCACCCGTCCGCAGAGCAGACCCTCTCTCTCGTTTGTTTGCTTTTTTTTTTAAATTCCCTCCGGTTACCGTAAGACAAAAATTCGATTCGGCTTATCCTCCTTAACCCGTCTGGACACACATTTTTTAAAAAGGCACACACCTCAAATGTGGGCTTCTAAAAACCAGTCGCTTAAGAAAGAAACCCAAGGCTTCGTCAAATGCGCGGAGAAAGACAAATCCAGCAAGGTAGTAGATTTTTCGCCACCTCTTCCTCCTTTCGGGATCTTTCCCGATCTTCTTTCTCTCTCCTCTTTTTTTTCTCTCAGATCCAACACCTAAAATGGAAGTTGCACCCAGCCAAAGGCTAGGGAGCCTGGGTGGTGACAAACTGATCTGGCAGGCTCCCCCCTCGCTTTCCTAAGTGATGTCAGCCCCTGAGAACTTCCAATAGGAGCCAGGCATAAATCAGGGAGCTGATTTTATCCAATAGGAAACTTTATTATAGGAAATTAAAAAAAAAAAGGAGGGGAGGAAGAGGAGGAGGAGAGAAAGAGACGGGGGAATTTTATATATATATTTATATTTAAAGTGGAGACTGTACAGGGGCTCAGGAGTTGCTGCAGAGCGCCAGGGGTAGGAAGGGCCGAGGAGGGCTTCTCAGACGCGCACGCCTCAGCCTCCGCCCCCGCCCCCGCCTCGTCCTCGGCGGGGCGCTTGCTCCCTCTACCTTCCTTTCTGGGTGGAGCAACAGAAAGCGCTGCCTTTATTTGCCTTCTGCTGTTCGGCTTGCTGCTTTCCACTTCAAAGCGTTTGCCAAAGGGAGATAGGAAAGGAGAGAGATGCTAGGAAGCGGACTACTGTGTGCTGAGGAGAAGGCAGGGGATATCGGAGGTGAACTCGCAGTTTCGTTGTTTTCATTGAACTGCATTAGGGTTAATTAGGAAAAACAAATGCCTGGACCTGTTAACAGTTTTTTTAGTGTCTATACTTTCAACTAGAAGTCGAATCCATTGGGCTACTGAGTAAAACCACGGTCCTCCCATTTGAGCCATATGAAAATACTATTGTATGTGTTTGAGGGGAAGAAAAATGGAATCCAATAAACAAAACAATACATTTTTAAGAACAGTGTGTCTGAGGAAAAGTCTTACATCAAAAAAATTTCTTTGCCAACTTTCACTTACACATTCTCGTTTGTACATCTGACTTATAAAGGATTACACAAGTATTCTGTTTGCCTGGGTTTCCAATTATCCTGAATGTGTTCTTCCACTGGTAAACCACAAAGGGCAGATCGATATTAGATCCTTTTTTTTTTTACATGCTTGAAAAAGATCAGTATTTTATGGCCACTCTATTTAGTAATTATTAAACAAAGATGACAATGATGAATTGAAAAAGTTCTTACTGAAAAATCTAAAATCTATCCAGTAGACTGCTGCCAAATAAATCCTCATCAAGTTTTAATAATCTAAGATAGTGATTAAAACAGAGACGCTGCAGTCGGACAGCCGCTGCAAACCGTCCTCCTCTACTAGGACGCATATTCAAGTGATCATGCTTCTTCTATATGACTTTGGACAAATTATATAAACTCTCTGACTCTTCTCCTTACCTATAAAATGGAGATAAGACTGTCTCATAGGACTGCTGTTAGAAAATATAAAGTTCTTAAAACAATGTATGACATATAGCATAAACTCACTAAGGATGAGTTATTACTATTACCAATGTCTCCCTGCCCCCAAACCTTTTCATGGTTCACCATGGTGCAATAATAGCACCTAATGATGGAGCATCTATAATGCTGAGGGCACTTTGCACCCTAACTTCTAATACTCCAGCACAGAGGTAGTATTGTCATTTTACTGATGAGAAACTCTAGGCTCAACAAGGTTAAGAAACTTGTCTGAGCTCATCTGACTAAAAAGGGAACCCCTCATCAATCTGACTCCAAAACCCACGCTCCCTCCATCACCTTACACTGTGGTCAAGATAAAAGCCAAGTTCCTCATCTGCTTTCAAGGTGCCACATTTATCCATTCAATACATTAAAGTAACACTGATTAACCATAATCACACCTTTCCTGATCTGTCAAGTGGAGTTCCACTCCCTCCCTCAGCATAAATGATCCCTTCTAACAGACTGCTCCAGCCTTTCTCCCTCTCATATTGGTCCATAGCTATAGACCCCATATTCGGTCTTCAGAGTGCAGCAAGAACTACTCTCTGGAGTGTTAAAAGACCTCACAAGCATTACAGCACTTCTATGACAGGCTTCAAACAAACTAGAATGGAAAAATGAAGATTACAACAGAGAAATGAACTTTTAACTTTCATTATCTGAGAATCTTATATTACACCTTATCATATCTTCTTTCCTTCTATTCCTGGTCCTCCATAGCCAAGTTCAAAAGCCAAAGCTAATTGACAAAGGAAACAGCACAAGAAATGTTTGTTGACTCACTGGTTCCTAGATAAGTCATATTCTAGAGTATTCTATGATTCTCTAAAGGCAGATCACCAATGACAACTTGCAAGATTTGTGTTTGTGTGTTTTCCTGACACCACCACCAGAAAATAAAGCTCATGACATGATGAATAGTGTTTTTCTAGGTCATGGTGGCCAGCTTTATCGCTCACCTTTAGCTTTTTTTGTTGTTTTTCTTTTCTGTTTTCTTTAATGTTTTTATGTCTCTCATCTTTTAGAAACCAATGAACAAGTGAATAAAATCTGCTAGCTTAGCAGTTATGTAATCCTGAAGAAATCACTTAGTATTAGTGAAAATGTAGATAGTATTCAAAAGTACATACAAAGCAAAAAGGTGGTGAAAAGCTATTAAAATTTTAATTTACATAAAACAGGTATCTCAAAAAAAAAAGCCCCCGTACAGGGTTGGTGGGGATGTACACCGGCGCAGCCTTTAAGGACAAAAGTTTGGGGGATCCTCAGAAATTACAAGTAAGCCTAGTATCCGATCCAGCAAGTCAGAGTCAGGTATCTCTCTGAATGTAAAAACACTAATCTGAAAAGCTATGGGCCTTGTATGTTCGATGCGGCATCACTCACAAGAGTCAAGGTATGGAAAGAACCTTGGCACCCCCTGGCAGATGAACAGGTGAAGAAGATGCCCTCTGTCCCCACAATGGAGTACTACTCACTGCGCTACAGCTGAAACCTTCATTTCCAACGACACCGTGAGACCGAAGGACCATACACTAAGCAAAAATGTTAGAAAGACAAAAACAATGCCAATGACTTCACTCACATGTGGAATATTAATAAACTAAGTTAAGGAACAAACGAAAACAAAACAAACTCTTGGATTCTGACTGCAGAACTGTGGTTGTAGGGGAGAAGGAGGAGAGAGGCAAAGGGGAGAAGAGCTCCAAAGGCTGTGGAGGGGGTTATTGGCACTTTGGTGGTGGGCATGGTGTGGTAACAGACATTTGAAGAGATGAGAGTGGGTACTTAGAAACATACAACTCCGTAAACCTATGCTACCTTAATAAAAACAAGCATCTCCAAAGAGAGCATCACAAATGTCACTGAGGGAAAATGGCCTACATTCAGTTAGTAGAAAACAAAAAGACTAGTCCTATTTAGGCTATTTCGAGCATGTTCTGTGAGACAGGTACTCTTGTAGATATTAAGGATACTGAGATAGAGAAGTTACTGGCTTTCAAAGTTTAAATCATAACATGCAGAAAAGAGAAGATCCACAAATGTCAAATGGAGCATGATGCAGAGGCAAGAGGAGATTCAAAACAGACTGATGAGGGCCCTCCCTAGTGGCCCAAGAGATTAAAGCACTGCACTGTCTGCTGCTTCAAGTGCTGGTTCAATCTTTGACCTGGGAGGTGACCCACAAGGCGTGGCAGACCTCTCCTCACCCACCCACTGCTCCCCTCAGCAGTGTACCACGTCCATCTGCCTGTTCTGCTTCCCACACTGTCTCTGGTGAGTCCTCTCACCACCCCTGCACCTCTGGCCTCTAGCCCAGTTCTGTGTGCACAAATAAATAATAAAACAAACGGATGAGAATGACAAGTGGTTCATTCTATACTGGATATCAAGGTCAAACTCTCAAGTGACATGTTAAATTGAAGTGGTAAAAACTGACCATAATATTAACCAGAAGAAACGAATAAGAGTAACTACTAACACCAACGGCTTACAGTATAAGGCTGAAACTTACAAGATCTGGCAAGGCAAGCTGGAAATGATAGGCAGAAGAATGAAGAGCCTATAGGTGGAAGAAAGAATTCTCATAGAGGGAGCCTGGGAGCAGAGCAAAGGTTAAACAGCAGGCTGAATGGATCCACATCACAGGAAGATCTACTGCTTAAGTGACCTGTGGATTAAAGAGGGAACAAAAATGAAAGCAAGATTAGTCTGAAGATCATGTTTTAGCGATGAGTTGACCACAATCGTGCCAATAAAAACAAAAAGAAGTCGGAGGACTGGAGATATGTTTAGAGAGACAGGTTTTTATTTTTTCTCCTTTTTTTGGTTTTGGTTTGACAGCATAGAATGTTACACTCAATGGATGGTTTTACAAAGTTAAACTTCCCCACTGCAACCATTATAAAGAAAAACAAGATATCATAAAATAGTGAAAGATTAAGGAAGAGCTAGGAAATAAAACTACTTTAAAAAGAAATATTAAAATTTTTATATAGGGCAAAGTGCTGTGCTGACTACTTCTAAAATAGACTAACACTATAAATACCGAGGAGAAGAAATGAAAAAGTTCAGCTCCAAAAGCACTGCCCCCCCCCATACAAAGGAAAACAAACTATTTTTACTCCTTTCTACCCTCTGGTGGCTACACATGACCATTCAAAGCTTGTCATTTTTGAAACCATGACAAGAGGGTCATTTATCATTGCTTTTAGAAATTCTACTAACCCAAGATTTAACTAAAATTTTGTTAGATTTGGGCCTCCCTGATGGCCCAGGGGTTAAAGTCTTAGCACTATCAAGCTATCACCAGCCACTGCAGGGAGAGTTCAGCCCCTGGCCAGGGAGCTGACCCACATGGCACAGCAGACCACCTCTCCTGACCCGCCCGCTGCTCCCCTCAGCATTGCATTTCAGTAGATCTGCCTGCTCTGCTCCCCCCGTCTCTGGTGAATCCTCTCCCCCCCTCCCCAGAGCACCACTGGGGCCTACACCCCAATTCTTGTAGACATAAATAAATAAATCTAAAAAAAAATTAAAAGAAAATATGGATAAAACAAAAGTCTCTGCCAGCCTGTGACCATGCAGGTGCCTCTCTTCCTTTCTCCTTTTCCTAGTGAACCTGTCCTTTTAAAATGTTAACAGCAAACAAATAAAAAAGAACAAGGCACACCCTCATTACTACTGGAAAGTCATCAAATCCTAATAAGAATATACTCATGAGAAGAGACAGTGTTTATATTTCCTTACAACTTCTCTGAATCATTTATCCTGGTATTCCACCCACCCAGCAGAGTTGGGGTTTGCCAATAACAGATGCCATAAACAAGCATTGTTCTGTCTTTTGTCTCTTCCCCCCAGGCCTCCTTGAGTTCTTGTGACCATGTGCCTGCACTGCTGACAACATCTGAAATCTGTCCTCCTTCTGCTAAGTTTTCTGTCCTATCACGAATTGCTTCCTCTTCAAAATAAGACAACTGCAATAGAAAATGTCTTCTGTTCCTGTTCCATCTTACCAGAAGCCTCAAACTAGGGAGATTAAGGTTGGGAAATGTGTACCGCTGGCCTCCACAGTCCAACCAACCACCTTAAATCCTTTTTCAAAAGGTGTGGGGAATCCGTGAAGACAACTGAACACATCACACAACTCACCTCTGTGAGATTCTGCCTGTGTCTTTCTGCAGGCTCCCCTTCTTAGCATCTTCCTTGTCTGCCTCCACCTGGCCTCAACAGGGGAGATGAGGTGTCTCAATTCACCAATTTGACACCAAAGGCTTCGGCTTGGTCACTTTGGGGACATCACCCAAGAGGCAGCACGGAATCCTGGGAGTCCCAATGCGCACAGCAGAAAGTGCTGTTCGGATTTAAAACGGGGCTGGCCGTCCCTCTGAGGGTTTGATCTTGAGATCACTTAATGTTTTGATATCATTCTCGAAACCAGCTGTTTCCAGCCAGGAACTGCTCTACATCGCTCAGCCTGGGATGTAGAGGTCACCCCAGACAGAGCACCTGCAAGCAACCCCTGCGGTCACCAATCCCCAAGAATGTAGGCTGGAGTAGAATCGAAAAACCGAATCCAAAACCTAGGCCAATGACCTCGTTCCAGAGGACCCCAGGCCTTTGGCGAGGCCGCAGTTAGACCGAGATAGGGCCAAGGTGCCAATACAGGTACCAGAGTCTTGCTCCTCCAAACCCCCGCAGGTCTCCGGGGAGCCCCCGCCGTTTGCAGCCTCTTCAGGTGGACGGCGGAAGTGTCCTTCTACCAGGCCCCCACCCGGTGGACGTCCTGCCCTCTCCTCGAGGTGCGCCCCCCGGCGCTGCCTCGCCGGCTGCTCCCTACCTGGGCCTGACACCGTCCAGCCGCTGCCCTCAACGCCCTCGTGACTCAGCCTCCCGCCAAAGCACCGCCCCCCTCTGATTGGCTGTCCGGGGAGCCTCCGGCCAATGGGGATGACGTATTCAAGCAGCCGGCGCGGAGGGCGGGGCGGGGCCGGGACGTCGTGGCTCGTGACGCTGGCGCGAGGTGTGTGGCGCGGGCCGCGTGGCGTCAGGCCCTCGCTGTCACCGCTGCCCAGTGCATGAGTGTGCTGGGCCCGCTGCTGTCCGAGGGCACCCCAGGGGGTGACTGCAAAGCCCGGGCGGCCTGAGGACGCGGTAAGCGGGAGCCCTGACTTGGGGCCTTCTGACTCCCCACGCGCCATTCCCAGAAACCTTCGCGGCGAGAAGTCTCTCTTCAAAGGAGTTGGGCCGGGTGCGCTGAGCTTCCGGGCGCCGGGCTTTGCAAGGCCTTTCCTGAAGACGGACTTTCACCATCACTGCGCCTCCCTGGCTTCTGGGCTGGGGGAGGACCCCTGAGGCCGTGGACCCACCTGTGCGGCTTTGCTAGACCTCCCCGGAGGCAGGACGACCCTGGAAGAAGCACGGCAGGGGACCCGAGCGCAGAGGACCCCGGAACAACTCCTTCTGCAGAGCTGTTCCAGGTGGGGTCTGGGGGTGAAATGGGGGGGCTAGTGGGCTGGGAGCCTGCCTCAGGGCCTAGGTTCGCTGGAGCCCTTGCAACAGCTGCCACCCCCTTCCCCACCCCCCGCCCCTGGCTGAGATCCAAAGTGAACCCACCCTTTCTTAATTTACCTTTCCATTCGCTTCTTTCCTAACAGTTTGACTGAATTATCCTGATCCCGAGTGCCACCTGACAGCAAACTGCATGCCAGGAAAGGAACACCAGCTGTGCCGTGCGGGTGGAGGTTTCAGTGCAAAAAAAACCTGGAAATTTTGTAAGTCTGAAGTCACTCTGTTTCCTGAGGGGTGGAATTTCAATTATCCTGGCTCGAAGTCATTAACGACTGATCCGCCTGAAGGGCAGATTGGTTGCCAGCTTCCAGGCAGGAGTAGGCAGGCTCTAGTAGAACATCTGAACTGAGGATGGCAGTCAATGTCCTCAGTGCCATGAGGGACCTTCCACCCGGGGCCAGTAGCTGCTTGTCTTGGCTGGCACCCTCTGCTGGTGAGTGTGATAGAGTGAGCTTGGGGAAGAAGAGACTTGCGCTGCTTCCTAGAGAATTCTGTACTCAATAAAATATTGTTTCTTTGAAAGTGTTAAGTGGAGGATTATACCCATGGAATTTGCAAGCATGAAGCTCACAAAGAATGTGAGGAGTCAGCACTGTACTCCTCAGTGGAAATGTGAATGAGGAAGGCTTAAGGGTGATCACAGATACCATTTTGGGTGATGGGGAGGTAATGCCAGGCACTAATAAACAATTTTATTTGCATTGATTCTTTAATCATTTTTTAAAGATGTATTTACTTACGTATACAAAAGAGAAGGTGCAGGCCAGAGGTGGGGTGTGCGTGTGTGACAGAGGATTCTCCAGAGACAGAATTGGGAGCAGAACAGGCAGATGGACCAAAATACACTGCTGAAGGGAGTGGTGGACGGGTCAGGAGAGGTCTGCTGCGCCATGTGGGTCAGCTCCTTGGCTGGGGATCGACCTTGTGCTGCAGTGGCTGCGTACAGCTTCGTAGTGCTGTGCTTTATCCCCATCTGCCGTCAGAGAGGGCCCAGTTTCTCTGCATTTCAAAAGACAAAATACCAAAGGTATGGTCGTGGCTCTGAGATGTGTTCTTTAATCTACAGGAATCTGATCTGTGAAAACCTAGGTTGTTTGTTAAGAGACCAACATGTGCTCCCCTGCCAGTCCCAAAATCCTTTATAGGAATCCTCGGTTCCTCCGGTTAGCTTTTCTGCAGCTTCATCATCAGCAACAGAGTGGTGTGTTCTGTGATGTCCTTCTGCAGGCAGAAGGTAAGAGCCTAATGGAGACTCAATTGAAAACTCACCACAGAATAAGTGACTAGAAGACCACCTTTGGGCACTATAAGCTATTTGGTAAAACGCTGTTTGTTTCTATTTTCAAGAACAAAAAGGAGATTATGCTGCATTTCTCCTTATAAATTGAAGGTGACTGTAAATTTTTGTAAGCATAGAAGTTTCATGGATAAATAATGTAATGGGATGGTTGTGACGGTTAACATATGGAAAGCACTTACAAGTTTTTCTTTTTTTAGATTTATTTTATGTTTGTGGATACAAGAGCTAGGGTGTAGACCAGAGGTACAGGGGGTGTGAGCGAAGTCACCAGAGATAGAGTGGGAAGCAGAACAGGTGGTTCTACTGAGATAGATTGCTGAGGGGAGCAGCTGGTGAGACAGGAGAGAGCTGCCGTGCTATGTGGGTCAGCTCCCTGGCTGGGGATTGAACTCAGTAGCTTTTGACAGCTTCATGGTGCTGAGACATAACCCCTTGCACTACCAGGGAGGAGGAAGTATTTTTAATGTAGTAAACACTGTGTTAGGTGATACATATTTTCCCCATTTTCTTGCCAAGCTGATGCTTAATTTAAGTTCATGTCTTCAGATTGATCATTTTCGTTGTTCGTTGTTAGATCTAAAAATATGTACCATATCTCCATAACTTCCCTTTACACTGAAATGTAATACTGATTTGAAATGTTAAATCAGTATGATCTACAGCCTAGGATAAAAGCCCAAGGCCCAAAGTAGGAACTGGAGAACCTGAGTTCAAGTCCTAGTTTTGTTACTAAGTAAGTGACAAATTGGCAAGTGACTTCATCTTTCTGAATTTCATTTTCTTCATTTATAAATAAGGATTATGACAGCTAACAGTATGCAGCACTTCAGTTTGCAGAGTACATAGTCTCACTTGAGTCTTATAACAGCTGTCAGGTAAGTATGTCATATGGTTCCAGTTCTACAGATGAGTAAATTAGGACCTAGTGACTTGTCTCTTGGTTTTCCTAGTAAAATCAGAGTTGAGATTCATTCTGTAATTCAAACGAAACAAAAAAGTATCAAATGTCTGTTGTGTGCCAGTACATTATACGAGTATAGAGGCACCATATGTAGGAGGCTGAAGTCCCACCAAGTGAGGACATCATGTAAGGAGGAAAACATTCAGCTTAGCAGAGCCCTTAAGGTACTGTGCAGTACAGTAAGTCGTATGTCAAGTGAGTATAGGCTGACATCACACAAGAGGTGCATTGTTCACAGACTTGGAGACAGGGTTGAGGAGATCTTCTTGGAGTTGATAACTCCTTAAGTAAGATCTGAAGGACAAACAGAAGTGGGGAAAGATTTTCCCAGGCAGAGGGAACAGCAAATACAGAGATTCAGATATGTGACCAGGGAGTTGTGATTTGTTCATATGGCTAGACCACAGACTACAGGTTGTGCATTGACCAGAGATGCAATGAACATAGCAGCAGGCAATGAAGTCTGAAGTATTAGGCAAAGGAAGCAGGTCTTGTCCTCTGAACACTGGGAGGTATATTTAAAGGTTTTAAGAGGCTGGTCATAAGATATCTACTTAGAAATAGCACTCTAGGCTGCATGAGAATTGTTGGATTGCTTCTGAAACCCAGTAGGAGGCTGTTTTGAGTCTGGATAGGTAATGGCAACCTGAACTAAGACACCCAAAACAGAAATGGTTGGCTTGTGAACTGTTAAGTTGCTGTTAAGCTGCTATAGTTAAGGGCACAAATTCCATAGCCAGACTTCCTGGGTTCCAGCCACGTCCCCGCTACTTAACTTGTATGTAACTGTGGACACGTTATTTAACCCTGCCATTTACTCATCCATAATAACAATAGCTATGTCACAGTGCTGCAGGGAAGGTTAAATGAACCCTGGTAAAACTCTTAGAACAAGACTTCGCACATAAGTATTTAAGTATTAATTTTTTTTAAAGATTAATGCTTGATTAAAAATAGTGGGTAAGAAAGAAGTAACTTTAGATTTTAGGGCAGCTCAATGAATGCGATGCTTTGAAGTAAGAAACAGATGTTTTTTAGGAGTTTACGAGTAGGGAATGGGTTCATTTTCTAGAAAGGCTGCACTAGAGGTACTTTTAGCATGTCTATAGAGACATGATGAGACTATGGAATGTTTAGTATCTCAGGAAAACTTTCGGGGCAGAGGTAGGCTATGGGGCCTTTGTAACTGAAGCCATGAGATTGCCTGGGGTGTGCATAAATGAAAGGTGTCCGGGACCTGATTGCCCACATCCAAAATTCAGGCAAAAGCTCCTTCTATTAGACCACATGCTGCTTCTATAGAATCTTTTAAACTAAAAAGAAAAATTATTCAGCAAGTATATGAATAATAATAATAAAGTTACTTCTTTCTTCTGTCTAGTCCTGGGTGTACTTGAGAGTAAGATATGAGAGCTTATAGTTTAGTGGAGATATGGGCAGTTACACTAGAGATAGCTAAATGCTATGAGAGCTCTTCTCTACCCAGAAAGCACCTAACCTGGACTTGGCATTTTGAAAGAAGTAATGTCTAAACTGCATTTTAAAGGATAAAAAGGATGAGTGAGCTAAGAAATGGCAGGTGTTTCTGGGTAGACAGAAGGAACAGATTACCGAAGCGACAGCTCATTATTTGGGTAATAACCTGTGCAGTTAGCCCATGAACACGCAGGTCTCCATGAGGTAACAGTGTTTGGGTCTCCCTCCAGGTGAAGCTGTCCCGGCCCACTGCTGCATCCTGTCTGCCTGTAGCCCCTTCTTCACAGAGCGCCTGGAGCGGGAGAGGCCAGCACAGGGTCGGAAAGTGGTGCTGGAGCTGGGGGGCCTGAAGATCAGGACTCTTAGGAAACTGGTAGACTTTCTATATACCTCAGAGATGGAAGTTTCTCGAGAAGAAGCTCAGGATGTGCTTTCTGCTGCCCGTCAGCTCCGTGTATCTGAACTAGAATCCCTTCAGCTAGAAGGTGGGAAGTTAGTGAAGGCTCCTCAAGGTCGAAGACTAAACCGGGAGTGCTTACAACCTCCCAGTCCCGCACCCATATCTGCCAGGGTGGTAGCATCCAGCCGCCACCCGCGAACGCCACTGCCCATTACCCAGACTCCCTGTCCTCTTGGGACGGTAAGATTGAAGTCCTCAGGGAAAGAGGAGAATCCTCAGGAGAAGAGCAACCGACAGAATCCGGAGAATGTGTCTGGCACCCTTCTGCTCAAGAGGAAGGCCAGAGCCAGCCCAGCTCAAGAAAAGAGCTCTTCACCATCGAGCCACAGCCAGGGCCCTAGCGAGAACAAGAGTGACCCTGCCCTTGGTCCTACCACGTTTTCCCCACCCACCTTGTACCCCTCTGTGGATGAGCGACTCCTGCCCAGAAAGATCAGGCTAAGTCGCTCAAAGCCATCTCCTGACATCTGTTCATCCAAACCTTCCAGTGTCTTAAGTGGACCCAGTTCAGTATCCACAGCCCCTGGCCGACGTCTTTGGCGGCAGAAGAGTGTAAATCGAGAAACACCAGAGGACAAACAGAAGCTAGGGCGAGAGAGTTCTCTCCAGAGCGCTCCAAATTCACCTTCTGGCCTTGGAAAGATAGGTGGGAGCAAGAAGCAGAGCCCTGAAGTCAGAGCACCTAATTCAGACTCTGCAGAGGAGGGGCAGGTCGGGAGAGTGAAACTTAGGAAGATTGTCAACGGGACCTGCTGGGAGGTGGTGCAAGAGCCTCCCCTCAAACACTCCCAAGAGAGCCCTCAGATCCCAGGGCCTGAAAACCAGGAGCAGCCTCCAGGGACTCGGCCATGTGCAGTTCACCAGCAGGAAATGTCATCGGCTGGACTAGACCCCTGTCAAGACTCACCGGTGTGCTCCAGGCTCCAAGACATTATGCTTTCAGCTAGCCACTCCCCAGGCCACCCTGCAGTGAAGTGTGAATTTGGGTCTAGTCCAGAGCCGGTGGGGAAGGAACCCAGGCTGGATATTGACTGCAGGGAGCCCTTTACTTTTGACACTGCCCTGCTCGGGCAGCCCTGTGAAGCCGAGGAGTACAGAATCACCAGCGCTGCTGCCACCAGCGAGCTGGAGGAGATTCTGGACTTCATGCTTTGTGGCTCGGACACTGAGCCACAGCTAGGGTCTCTGGAGAGTCCCAGGGCTGAGGGCTGCAGGACCCCTAATTATCACCTGACAGAAACTGGGAAGAACTGGATTGAAGGGGAAGAATGGTGTTTACCAGACATGGAACTCTGGCCTAGAGAACTCACAGGATTGGAAAAGGAACCTGCTGATAACAGAGAGCCAATTGAGTCCCTTAGCCCCCTTGTCCTGCCCTCAGGGATGAGTGAAGGCGAGGGGCTTTCAGTGGGAGCCCCTTGGACTTCAGACCTGGAAGTGACCAGTTCCCGGCCAGTGGATAGTCAAAGGAACCAGCTTCTCCACATGGACTCCCTTGACCCACCCCCAAAGCCCTATGGGGAGCTCTCACCTCCCTCTTCAAACTGGGGGGACAATGGGCTAGAAGTGCCCCTAGGTATGGATGAGGTATTATACCCTGCTCCAGAGGTAGGCAAGGAGGTATTTGACAACTCTGACTTGAGTCCACTTCCTGCCAGCCCCGAGGAGGAAGAGATTGACGTGGTGGACTGGACATCAGAGGGGAATCTGGTGCCCACCAATATTCCCTCTGTATGGCCCGACCCTTCCTCCGAGTCAGAAACAGAGATAGATATACTAACATAGTCAAGGGGGAGGGAAGGCTAGGAGCACTGGGAGATGGGAGAGGCTGGCTAGCAAAACTAGCACTGGCCCTCTTCTCTGCCGGAGGGGCAGATACCCCTGGCTCTCTCTAGGGCCCCTCCCTCTTCTCCCCTCCCCGGATTTTGGAGACAGGCAGTAGTACCATGGGTAGAAAATTATGAACTTGAACCATTTTATTTCTCTGATCTATTCTCCAGTTAGTGGTGAGACAATATATTAATTGTGGCCACCCCCCAACTGCAGAGGGCCAAGGCCAGAGTCCCAGGTTATGTGTTACTTCGTCTCTGCTAATCCAGGAATGATTGATAAACCACCCTCTGTGGCAGGGGATTCCATGTACTTCCCAGAACAAAGTGTGAAAGTGTTGGGACAGAACACTCAGTGGCGGGCGAGTCACGGGATTCTACCCAGTAGCTAATGCGTGGGCCTCGTTCACTACGGAGTGTGGGAAGTCCAGCCAGAGCCTCCACCTCCTTCACTTCCAAGAAGTGAGATGGAAAAATGTTTCTTTTATAAAAATAAATTACACCCCCCCCCATTTTTAAAAAATAAATATTTCACATCATCCTTTACCAGAGTTCCAGGTAAATGAAAGGCGCGACTAATTCCCTAAGGCCAGCTTTGTCCATCTCTTAACATTAACTTTAGTTACTCAAATATTTTACATCGAACACTTTTAACTTTTATTAAACAAACCAAATCTAAGAACTCTCCAATGCCTCACTACTGAACCTTCGTTTCTGGAGAAGCCATGGCTTCAGGAACATGACTGAAGTTTGGTCATGTCCCATCATGAATGCTCCAAGTCACCAGGACAGAAGGCTGTGGAAATGAGAGCAGAAATAGGGTGAGAGAAGGGCCCAGGCGATGGTGACCTTTACATGTGCCCACCCCCTCCAATGAGCACGTGGGGGCGCAGGGAGTAAAGATAAGCCCTTGTGACCAGGAGGGACAGGGATGCTGTCACCAGGACGGGAGGTCAGAATATACCAGAAGAACAGCACCCAGGGAGGGTGGGGTGAGCCCACTAGACTCCAGGGTCTGGAAGAAGGCTAGATCCTTAATAGCTCCCCAGCCCTGAAAGAAGCGCACACCCCCGGGGCAGTAACTGCACTCACAAAGAATACAAACTGCACTTCTAAGAGTCACTGCCATCACCATTCACATTCTCTAAGTTCGGGCAAATCTTCTGCCCATGGCCTTTCCCGCCAATGCTATGGGGCAGGTGCAGCCCAAGGTGGCCATCCTTAAGGCCAAGGCCGGGGAAAATGTACGACGTGGGGGGGGGGCCGTTAAGACCACTTCACAAACAGCCACCCCAAAATCAGCCCAGGGCCGGCCCCACCCCACTGCAGACCTCGGCTAAGATGCGCTTCTGCCCCAGCCCTAAGGAAGGTGCTTCCTGAGCTGCTCCACCACCTCGAGAGGCTCAGGGAACTTGAGTTTGCGCGGGGGCCCCTTCTTGATCCCGGTCCAGAGCTCCGCACCTGGAGAAACACCGAGTAAAGCCAAGTTCCTCGCGGTTACCCGCCTCTCCCGAGCCGCGGGCGGTCCCGCCTCGGCCCAGCCCCGCCTCCCCGCGCCGCGCCCCCACTCACTGCTGCCGTCCGGACGCAGCAGCGTCACCTCGAAGCTGCCCCGACGGGGCTTGGCCGGGTTCACCCTCACGGGCAGCTCGGGGGCCTCCTGGCGCAGCGCCTCGCCCAGGGCGGCGGCGTGGCGCCCGTACACGCGTCAGC